CTGGGGAATTCTGGGAGTTGAAGTCCACTCTTCTTAAAGTGGCCAAGTTAGGACAACACTGGCTTACATACTAATTCAACTTAAGGACTGACTTTGGGAATGGAACCCGTTCTTAAACTGGGGGCCGCCTGTACATGGTAAAAGTCAAAATAAACCTGGCCTGCTGCTGGAGCTTTTGTGCAAAAAATAGAAACCTTACCGGTTCTGGGTGTATTCGTAGGCAGCATCAACTAATTCCTTGGCTTCTTCGACATTCTGCAGAAGGAATCGGCTTCCCAGTTGCTTTGCAATGTCTAAAAAAGACACTTGGTTTGGATTTTCTTGAAGGAGACACTTCTATCAAATGCCTCAAAAACACACCAGGGTGAATGTAGCTTCCATGATTTGGTTCCTTCCAGATACACTGGGAATCCTGGCAGTTGTATTCCACCATATCTAGAAGCCACCAGCTTGGAGAAGCCTGTTGTAATATTAATGGCGTCTTTCATTAAGCAATCATCTATCAAAACTGATAGACAGGTCAAAACTGACCCTGGCTGTGTTCACACAGTACTTTAAACCTTGTCAGTTACTAATTATATGGATTGGTATCTGAGATCTGCCAGGGAAAGCTTGCTGTCAGTCATGCCTGTGTGAAAGGTGGTCAGGGTGGGTATCTCTTGGTGGGCCTTCTCTGTAGTACCACCAAAGCTTTGGAATAAACTTTTAAACATGAGTTTTGATGGAGACAATGTGTGATATCCCATGTGTTACAATGCTGTTATGCTATTATGCAAATGATGCAAATTATACACAGCAGATCATTCACATGATATGACAGGCACAAAGTCCATCATTTGCACAATGACACTATGATGCACAGACATCGCGTTGGCAACTACCAGACATGCATGCTTCCAGTCAGAGTTATCTGCAAGGGAGGTCAAAATAATCAAGATGGCAGCCCCATGATCTGGGAGTTGGTCCACACATCTTAAAGCTGGCAAGGTTCAGAAGTACTGCCTTAAGGATATTTGGCAGACTTTTGAGAAATGCACCAAGAAAGGAAATGCAGACCAAAGTTCTGCACCTGTTCAGATGTCAGCAAATTATCCTCAAATGACCACGGTTCTTTCTGCTGCTGCGGTGAGTTTTTCACACTGAGGCAATCAAAATGCTTTGGAAACTGCATTTGTTCCTCCAGCTTGTTCTTAAATGATGAAATGCTTAGACTGCTTTTTTACAAGAAAAAACCGAAACAGACATATGTAGACATTGACAGGCACTCCAAGTCAATGAAAAAGAGTAGTTCTAAAGTGAAAGAGCTTACCTAGTAAAGAGAGGTTCTCTGCCTGTTGAGGCTTTATTGCGATTAGGATTCCCAAAAGAACAAGGACCAGCCTCAGGCCTTGGAGAAAGCACAGTTTTGAACTGGGTTACTTGCAAATAATTTTGGAAAGAAATCTTTAATTGTTAAAATTGTTAAAATTATTTTTAATACGAATTTGGACATGTGTGTGTATATCCATCCTACTTGTGTGTAAAAATGCTTCTTACTGTGCTAACTCTAAGATTTTTTTTCCTTCTGCTGTCCTAGGACTATCAGTATTGGGCAGGAAAAATCTGGACCACCCTGGGTGATAGCAACTGGAGTGGTCACCCTATTTTTTGCAGCCCAGATGGGGTAGCTATATCCCTCTTGAAAAAACCAAATCGAAATAAAAATCCCAATCCCCTTTTACAACACCAAAACCCCCCACAATTGTTTTATATACATCAAAATGCTTGTTCCGCAGCCTGCCTGCCTTGCCTCTCCCCCTTCCTTTCTCTGTCTCTCTCCTTCAATCTCTCTCCATTGTTTCTGCCTACAATAACAACAGAAAAATCAATTTATTTACATTAAAATGCATCCTCTAGTGACTCTAGTTCTCCTTCCTCTTTGCTCCCAGACATATGACAGAGAAAAAGCCTAAGCTGTTGAAATCATTGCTATAGGAACTGAACCTTGAATGACCGTGAAACAGATCACAGCAACTCAAGGGGGGGAAAAACCCCCTAGTCTGGTGGAAGTTTAGGGCCCTAAAGGAGTCTGAGCAAATGCATTCTGCAAAAGAGAAGAAAGCTGTGAGAGAGTCATTCTCTGGACAGCAGCTGTCCATCGCAGCCACAGTCAGAAGAGCCTGCTGTAGGCAGTTTTTTTGCTCTAGGTGGCCTAGAACATCTATGGTTCTAATGGCATAGAACATCTTCATAGCATCACCCAGCCATTGCTGAAGTCACATAAAGCCTGTCCACATTACAGTTATTGTGACTCAGTGATGGCAGGACGACTCCAGCTGGCACTATAAATTGCTAGTGTGGAAAAGACTGAGTCATATTATTTAGCCATAAAAAAATCAAGGAATGTCACATTGTTCTTCAAGAACAGAATACAAAGTTCCCAAGTCTATAATATAGGTAGTCCCTGGGTTAAGAAGACTCAGCTTACAGATGACCCATAGTTAAGAATGGAGCCTATTGTAGCAAAATTTGAGTTCAATACACAATGATTTGAGTTAAATACACAATGGTTCAAGTTAATTACACAATACTACTTATACAGTATTATACAGCTTACATGTACATTATACAGTATTACAAGTACATAATACTTATACAGTATTATTCCGGCTTACACACAAATTTGATTTAAGGACAGAGCTCGGGAACAGAACTCATTCTTAAAATGGGGGCTATCTGTATTATAATCAGAAAAAAGTAACATTGCTAATTGTGCCAAAGGAAAAGTTAAATACAGAAGGTTTTTATTAACTCACTCTGGAAATATTCAAAATATTGTTAACATGGAGTGGTCACCCTATTTTTTGCAGCCCAGATGGGGTAGCTATATCCCTCTTGAAAAAAACAAATTGAAATAAACATCCCATTATGATCATCCCATAAATATTTCCAAAAGCTTGGAATGCAGTGTAGTCTAGCCTTAATGGCATGTAGATACTTTGCTCCTATCCTATTTGTCAAACTGTTATGTAAAACTCAAAAGCCTGCAAACAGCCCTGACTGAGCAAAACTGATGGAGAAAAAAGACTCCTTGTTATGCTCATCACTTAAAGGTGCAATGTTCTGCTTCCCATGATAGTTTTCCTGGTTGAGGAAGACTAAAATAGGGAAATGTATTAGTCAAGGAGATCTAACATAAAATGGAAGAAATAGGGAAAACCCAACTCCATAAAGCAGTTTCAGAGCAATGCACTAAAATAATTATTTTTAAGAAGCATTTCAAAATCACTTACTTGCCATCTTCTACAGTTCTGACCTTAGATGCCTGGAAATCAACTATTATCTGGAAGATGGGTGGAATCATTCACAGGAGAAAAGCCACACCCCATTTCTTTTTTCCCTCCCCTCTTAAAACACATCCTACTGATATGCGGGAGCCATCATTGGCTTTGCTCTGAAAATGTAGAAAAGCCATACAGCAGTTTTCCCAGGGCTTTAGATCTTGTCTGCAGAAGTCCAAAGGACTACTAGAAGAAGTAAACTTCTTCTCTATCTCTGTCGCTTTGCTAACATCTTGTGGTCATCCAGAATTTTTCATGCCAGATTTGGTATCCTACCTTTCCCCTTTCCCCAACCTGGCATGCTCCAGATGTGCTGCAATCCAAATGCTTCTGGAGAGTATCAGGTAGGCCTTTGCAGAACAGAGCAACAACTCAGTATCTTTGTCTAGAAGACAACCAAGAATCTGGTTGAGAATCTGTGGGAGTAACAGAATTAAGTCAGAGCAGAGCATTTGAGACATTGGGAAGTAGGGTTTGAGCTATCGAAAGCAAAAATTAATTGTTCAGCAGGGTCAGGAGAGGGAGGGCGTGTGCATTGCCTTTACTGGAGAAACCTCACCAAGGACATTAAAAAAAAACCCAGCAAGCTTTAAATGTGTAACATGATATTTTGTGTTTAAAAATACATCCATTTATCCATACTCATCACGTTATTCTCTTTCGGAGAAGCAACTTTATGCAAATTTCAGAAAAAGAGTAAGATATAATGGACAAAAGAAATTAAAGGCAGGAGGTGAAAGAAATGGAAGCCTCAATTTAGTTTATGCCAACATCATTCACTATTCTTCCTCATACCTTTCTATCCTTTCTTCTACCCATGTCCATAGACCACTCTCTACATTAACATCTGTTCTTTAAACTTCTCACCTCTTCCTTTTTTCAGCATTGCATCCGTAACATCCATGGTCTTCCTCTTTCTCTCAAACCATTTCCTCTTCTTTTATACATTTATTTTACATTTATTAATACTTTTTATCTGACCAAACCACCTCAATGTAAATACTTCTTTCTTTTAAACTGGTCACTCACTTTTGTATTCTATCCACATTCATTCATCTGCCATACATTCCAGTGTTGACCCTACCATTTCTTGCTTTATCACATATAGGTTTTGAGTATCCGAGTCCCGGATTTCATTCAACTTACTGTTAGGTTTATCCTGACATGTCTAACCTTCACTTCCTTATAACAAAGTGGGCAGAAGGACACTCTTATGCACAGCTATTTTTGTTTCTTTCAATAATGCATTCTTTGTAACAGAGGATATAATGCCCACTACTTTTCCGCCAGCATTTACATGTCATAGCATTTCTCCATCCATTTTTTATTTTTCCAGTCAACCTTGGTCTTTGATACATTATCTTTCAAATCCATATTCCTTGTTACATCCAAGCAATATTTTTGATACGTGCTGCAAATAGTTCAGATTCTCAGCCAAACTTGCAGCATAATCTGCATATAAAAGTACACATAATCACATCCCCAGTGAAAGTCACCGCAAATATTCCTTCTGCATTTGTCCATAAATACATGAAATAACAGGGAAACCTCTTACATACTTGTCGTCTTCACTGTTCAGTGTTGAACCATTCACTAAGCATTCCATTTATTTTCACACATCATTTATCCCCACTAGATTGATTTATTATGTGCTATCAAGTCAGTGTCGACTCTTAACAACCACAGAGGTAGACTTTTTCTAAAATGATTTGCCCCCAATCTGGCCCTTCAGGTGTCCCCATGGTGCATGCTGCAATCGAGTCCATTTGCCTTGCTGCTGCTCATTCTCTTTTCTTCTACTTTTTCCAACATTGTGAACTTCTCAAAGGATCTGGGTCTTCACATAATGTGTCCAAAATTTTGAACCTGGTCATTTGTGCCTCAAGTGAGAACTCTGAATTTGTTTGTTCTCTGATGCAATAGTTTGTTTTGGCTACCCATGCATACTCAAAAGTGCTCTCTAAAACTAAAGTTCGAAAGTCTCACTATTGTTTCTATCCTGCTTATCCAAAGTCCAACTTTTGTATCCATAGAAAAAAAGCATTGCCTGCATAATTTTGATCTTTGTAGGTATAGACATGTCATGGCATCTGAATATCTTTTCTAAGGTGTTCATTGACAAGTGCCAAAGCTAACACCAAATGCTAGTCTGTGGCATATTTCTTGATTTTACTATGAATAGACAATTCTAAAAAGTAGAAACTATCCACCATTTCAATGTCTTCATTCAACATTCAGTGTTCTAAGCTGATTGTAATACTTGTCATTAATTTGGTCTTTATATTTAATTTAATTTAAATTAAATTTAATATTTAATTATTTTTTTCTTCCTGTAAACATTGTACAGTATCTTCTTCACACTTCTCTTTTATGCATTTTTTCTCATCCACAGCTTCTGTCACATCAGCATTCCAGTTCCACTGATTATACTCTTTCAGACTTCCAGTTAATGTATCTCTATGCACGTCTTTGGTACTCTGTAGTAATAAACTGTTTCAAGCAGCTTACACATACTTGTTCCCTATGCCCTACCTTTTCTTGTGGCATTCCTGGTTTCTTTTCCTCTAGTCATTCTGTGTTCACTCTAACTCTTTTACTTCTTTCCTTTTCTTTCAATTTTTGCCTTGAATTCACTCTTGATACCACCAAGAAAATGGTCTGTCCTAGTTCAGAATTACCCTAGCAACTTTTACTAATTCTCCCAATCTTTCATCATAAGCAGTAAAATCAAATGTTTGGTTACCCAGCTAGGTAACATCTTCAGTGCACTGAAGACATTCCCTAGTCAGGTAACAAAACGTTTGCAAGAAAACAACCAAGCTCAGATAACCCCAAGGACTCCACAGTTCAACCCTGAGCCACATATATTCTCTTCTATTGGCAGTAAAATCAATCATACTTTTTAATATATATGCACTCCTTTGCTAGGTATAGACATGCTTAAACTATGTACTTGTCAGCCTTATTAGGTAGACCAGATAGGAAACACAGCCAGATGAGCTAATTCTACTTTATTGTAAACCTACATTAACAGAATTTTGCAAGTCTGAAAGTACTTCTCTCTCCACGTCCCCTTTACAGCCCAAAAACTACGGAGGGTCCCTTCTGAGCCTCTTGCCCTGCCCACATTCCTGCTGTGGGCTCAGCTGCCTTTTATCTGACCTTTCCCTTGTCTGCCTCTCTTTGCCCTGTCCCCCATGGTCATTCCCACATACCATTACAGTAAGCAGATACCAAACAAACATCATTCTCATTCATTCTTGGGTCTTTCAATGGCCCACTCATATATTCTTTCCTCTCTCTTACCTTATTTCCCAAATCCATTCATATTGCTTAACAAACAAAAAACCCAAAAAACCCTCCTCTAATCACAATTATTCAGAATGCTGCACAATTTTGCTCAAAAGTAATCCCTATTTATTTCAGTATCACCATTCCCTGAAACACAACATGCAGCTGTCCTCAAGCTACAGATTTCTACTTTTATATGTACCCACAACAGGCTTGATGACACCAATGCGCACATTACATCATTTTAAAACATTCAAAATAGCACAAACTGTAACTGTGACCTTCACTGAGGTGAATCACAAATGTTTTCAGTTCTAGAACTAAATTTTAAGCAGATGCTCCAAGCGCGCCAGGAAACTTCATGTACCTCCTAGCTGGTGGGTAGTGATGTGCAGCTGGTGGGTAATGATGGGCAAACTTCAGAGTTGAAGCCAAAAAGATGCTTTGGGGTGGGCCTGGGCATGCATGGCACCATGGTGGTGTCCCCTGAACCTAGCTGGCATTTTCCTGGGCTTGCGCAGAAAAACAGTTTTCTAAAACTTAACAGGCACTGGCAGTGCGCCCATACCCGCTCTGAAATGTTGCCCACGGTGGGTATCTTTTCAAGATATACAATATTTTTCTGGGACCCCTGCTTAACTTCCAAACCTAGCCAGGTGCTGCCACTTGCTGAGATGAGTCTATTAAAACTACCCATTTCTTTCCCCATAGACTGCTGTCAAGAAAGTGTCTTTTATTCTGTATTTGAGCTCCTGATATTTCTTACCTAACTGCAGTTTTTTTATATTTACTGGTCATGAAATGAATAAAGAGAGAGTAATTTGAGCATGAAAAATAGGATGGTCGCCTTCCGCAAAGGTACTTTTTGCTCCTGGGCAAACCCTACCAGAGCCCACAATTCTGGATTAGGAAGCAAATGGCTGGTTGACAATGTTGTGGCTGAGCACAAATGTGTACCCGGATTGTTCCAGACTCATCCTCAACATGAGGGAGCAGAGGCAGGTGATCACCTTTGCTGAGGAAATTCTGTTCTTTTCTCTCTGGAAGTGAAATTGCTTCAAAAAATGGCACAATCCATGCAAGGAACAAAAAAGTTATTTCTCCATAAAAACAGATCATGCAATGCCTTGCAGCACAGGCTATTTCTGTTGCATGAAAGTTCGTTGATGGTGAGAGGATTTTCGCAAGCTCAGAGTGCCTCATGTAGTTACTAATATTAGGTTTTAGCAAGTCACTGATCCCAATGTGGGGAAAGAGTGGCTGGCCGGCAGATCTTGGTGGTCAGTGCGTAGCACAAGTGAACTGCAGAGTATGGTTAAAAAAGTCAAGACACACATAAAAAAGGTGGCGCTCTCAAGGGTGCCATCTTGACCTTTCGACCATACCCTATGGATACCCTTGGTAGTGTGACCTGAATCATTAGCTGGGTGTCACTTATGTGGTAAAGGAGATTGCAGCTATGCATTACAACAAGATCCTAAAAGATTGCTGGAGCCATAGACACTTAGCTGCATGACCCCAGATTATATATTTACTCACCCTTTTTACTGTTTCTCATCGTTCTGCCTTTAACCATTCCTCGAGCCACAGATTGGTTTTTGGATGTCTAGTTTTAGTTTTAAAAATACTCAGTACAAGATAATTAGATTTGTTTCTGCTCAGCTGGCAACTCTACTCTTCAGGAAGTCTACGTAAGCAGCGGGTGTGTGGCCCTTTATGCACAAAAGGCATGCCACTCTTCCCAGAAAGAATTCGAATTGCTCCCATTTTCTAGCACGCTTTATACAAACTTAAAAGCCCAGGAACAACGACTTTGCTACAACTCCTACGTCGCTACTTCAAAAAAGCTTTGATTTATACATTTGTTTCCCTAGTTTAAATCTACTTGTAAATACGTTTTCATTGACTCTGACTGTAGGAAAGAAGAGTCATAGCTCTGGACTTGGGGATGTTAAAAATATATTTATACAGTTTAGAGGCCACCCAACTCCATAGGACTCCGGGTGGCTGACAACTTTAAAAGCAAAAAACAATAGCATAGATCAAGCGTGTCCAGAAGAAAACATACATAACTTCTACAAGGGCTTGGCATCCACCCTACCTGAAGGCCTGTG